ATAGCAGCCTAATGCTACTGTGTTTCGTATAGTGAGTGTAGAGATCCGGAAACCCTTTTTACTGAAAACTAGCATCCCATCTTAGTGCTCAGAGGTGACAACGCATCTGCATTTCTGGATTCTTAATTAAGAGTTAGTGAAAGAATACCTATAGGCCATAGTAATCACTTGTATATATAAATAACTTTTCCGGGTTTGGATGTTTGTGCTTGTGCAATTTATGTATGTAAATTGCCCCTATGATATAAGAGAGAATCCTAGTGTAGAGCTTGCTGCCTCTTTTTAAATTGTCATTAAAACAATATACCAACATTTAAAATTATACTTATTTAAAATAAGTAATAAATGCAATTGTAGCGTGGTTTTGATACCGAAAGTAATTATAACTTTTAACAAAAGTAAAGACCGACTTCAAATTGCTAAAAAAGAAGTTATTTATTGCTATCCTTAGCAACCCTTGAAGTGTTACATAAAAATTAGAGAATTATCAAAATTGTTTCACAATTTGTGAAGATATCACGTAACATATGTACAAAAATAAATATACCCTCGAAATAAGAACCTCCTCCTTTTTGAAGTCGGGTAGTAACAATCACTGAGTTTCTCGGCGGATCTTCCCTGAGAGGGTCTTGTTGTAATGTTATTAAAAGCTCTTATGAGAGCTCCAAGAGAGCTTTAAATAGCCTAAATTGAATTAAAGTTTTGAATTTGAATTAGGTTTACATCTATTGGAGGCCACGAGGTCTTTCAGACCGTTCCCGAAGTCGCACCTTGAGACACCCAAGCGACGAAACGCCGCGATGGATCCTAATACTCTAACACCACACAGCATCTTATAAACTATGATTACATAATTTCAAACTCGTAACTCTTAAGACGTGGGGTCAAACATGTGTACAATGTTTGCCATAAAAATTATGAACCGTTACGCACGCAGTTATCTCGTTATTCAATTTTGTTTGTAAATTGGTATGTTACAATGTTTGGAAGAGCATTGGTCAAATGTTTGTAGGGTCAATTTAAGGGAAAAATGAATGGATAAAAATAATGATAGTGCAATTCATCTTAATAATTAGCATAACGATTAGAATTACCTAACATAGAAAGTTACAGAATGCATTTTTAATAAATATTTTTATTACAAGCTAGCTATCCGTCCCGGCTTTTTTAGAACTCGACGACATATGAATGTATTATACATATAAACCTTTCTCTTGAATCATTCTGTCTATTGATGAACACCGCATCAAAATAAAACAAAGCTATCCCGCAGACGGCAGGATAGCTTTGTTTTATACTAATGTATATTTTTACAATACTCTAAACGAACACAAAATGGTAATTCCAGTGATTCAACTCGAAAGAGTCAGTAATTTCTTTATGGACCAATGTTTTACAAAAAGAGTTCCAGAAAATATGCGGGACTTCTATATCAAGAAATTAAACTTTTATAGAACTCACAACAGCGAACTCATGTTCTTCCTAGGGTGTTTTTGGATGTTTTTCTCGAAGCAGTGTTAAAAGCATAAATCATTTTAATAAGATTGACTTGTAATTTTTAATAAAAAAATTAATTCTATTCTATTATAATATCATAAAAAAAATCTTTTATTGGATATCGAAGACGATATTTCAATCTTTATGATTCTTTATGGTTTAGCCCCGCCAGTCCGCGCAGGACAGAATTATACTGCACGATTGTGCGCCCAAGCTCAGGTGCACTCTCTATTCTCTCACTGTCATCCAACTTTCTTACTCTAGGCTGCTGATGATTCGAAATCCAAACCACATTAGTGATTTAGTAATTTATAGAATAAGGGAACAAACAAGCACATAGCTCATCTGATGGTAGGTGCTTCTATCAATCATCATCAATTTTCACCCTTGCGGATTAAGATAGAGTGCCTCTCTTCCAGTAAAAAAGGTCTACGGTTCTCTCCACTCACCATACGAAATACAGGAGTATTATACTGCTATTTCACGCTGATATTTAATTTAATTCAGTTACTAAACTTCTTTGAAAAATTACGCAAACAATCTCACATAGCGAGCAATTGTGCATTGTGGTCGCATGTTCGATTCCCAGACGTTTGATTTATCATCAGCGATCGCGCCAGTAACAATAGTCTTTATCTTAATCAGCTAAATAACCTTGACATAGTAATTTTGGTTTTTTATTAGCTGTTAATTTGGGTATTTTGTTTGATCTGTTTTATTGTTTACTTATCGCTGGTTAAATCAAATCTTAAAATTACAAAGCTACTTCAAACCATACTTGAAGCTTAGATAAAGCTTAATTAAACTTTTAAAATGTTCTTTTTAAAGTGAAAACTTTCGATGAAACGACAACGCTGAAAAGAGGCGAAAATTTACATCTATAGGAATTAGCTTGCGAGAGAATGAGATAGAATACAGAGTAGTAAGCGCCAGTAGGCTAATGACAGGGTGCGGACCGTGAACTCAAAAGGTTGTGGGTTCGAATCCGCTATACAACTACTGTCGTGAAACACTTCTAATAAAAAAAAAATTCTACTATAACAAATCTTCAAAAATTTACATCAAAGTCTAAATCTTCATATATCCATTATATTAAATTATATACATATTGCCATTTATTATTATATCATGCATAGATTATTTCCATTATCACCGTGGTGGAGCCAAGCTGCAGCTATATTACGGTTGTAACACAAATGGGTGGGCTCGACCGGGGAAGGAACACGCTTTCACAGAATACCAGGGTAAAATAGCAGCTCCACGCTCCTCTGTTTCGTATGGTTAGTGTAGAGAACCGGAGACCCGTTTTACTGGAACCGAGGCACTCCATCCTAGTCCTCAGGGGTGTCAACGCATCTGCATTTTGACTCTTAACTGAAGTTAAATGTAGATCTATATGGGCCACAGCATTCGTTTACCATCAGGTGGACTGTGTGCTCGCTTGTCACCCTTATTCTAAATAACAAAAAACAATGACAGCTGTTTTATTACAATCAAAGTATGGGGAGAAAACTTTTATTTATTATGTGTACTCTTACTTGTTTCCAGGAGGCCCCGCTCTTCCATAACTAAATTTGATCGTTCTAAAATTTTGAAAAAAAAAACAACAACCTTAATAGTCTTGAGTGTGTGCAAGAATGCGGAATGTGTGTGCGCACGCCCGTAGTCTAAAAAAAGAAAAGTAAGACATTTTTGACCGTAGACAGAGAAACCTATAGACTAATGATCGGCGTGGCCTCGAGTGAGAAAGGACGATAACGAATTTTTAGGTTATACAATAATCTTTATGACTTTTAAACACATTTGGATAAAAAATTTAATTGTTCTAAGAACTGAACTGAACAAGATTCACCAATCTTAGGCTCACAAAACACTTTTTTCTCACTTAAACCAACTTGTAAACTCCTTAAATCGCTACGCTTTCAAAGTTGTTTAGCAAACTGTAGAGTTTGCTAAACAAAAAAAACCGGCACGGTGAAAGGGACAAACAATCATACCGCTCTATCTCATTTCTATGCAAGACGTATGCATAAATCTATCTTTTTCGTGTGCGAATGCGAAAGAAGGCGTCAATTTGTCTATAGGTTTCTCTGTCTACGTTTTTGACCTTAGTCTAATTCCTTAACTATAAAGGAGGTTAGAGCGAAGACTTTGCATCCTCTGTTGATTTATTCGGCTTTAAACATGGGTCTAAAGCCGAATTGACTTTCCTAAAGAATGTTATATTTCTCTAAGTAGTTTATTAGACGGAGGTTTATCAGTTTCTCTATAATTTTTGAGATAGTGGGTTATACAGAAATTAGCCTATAATTGCTGAAATCATCTTTATTCCCATCCTTATACACCTAATTATAGATTTTTGAGAGGTGATGGAAAGGCGCCTTTATGGCAGCAAAGATTGGCTAAATTACTAATTACGGAAGCTACGTGTACTCTAGCTAGATTGACAAATTGAGTAGAAATATTTTCCCATCTAGGACAACTGTTGCACTTGAGATTAGTTATAATTTCATTTTCAGCTTACCAGTAGTGGTTGAAGGAAATATTAGTAATGTTAGTATTTAAATAGCATTGCTATTATTTAAAAAATATATATTCTTTCCTTTTATCTCGGTATCCTTCCGTGCGGTGCCTTAAAGATGGTTGAAATAAATTTTAACTGTTAAAAATGTATAAAAAGTAGTAATACAGTATAAAAATTAATATGATAATAAAATTAACCTTATTGATTAAAATTATCTTTTCATTCATTATTTATAACAATTTACGATTTAAATAGACTCGTACGGCGGTAATTTCGCCAGTGTCAAGTAATAAGAAATTTTCCTTTCTATTTTTTTATATTATTTTTTCACAATATGTTTTTACGTAAGATTGCGAAGTTTTTTGGAGATTTTGACAGTAACTTCAGCAAGCAGATAGCCGATGACCATAGTATCTCTAATCTAAGTTATATAAAATACTATAAAATATTATAACTAATATTTCAGAAGAAAGCATTTAACCCTTACATTTTTCTAACAAATCAACTTCTCCTGCCATGAAAACTGTTAAATATTTCAACTCATTTTCAAGTAACGCTGCCCTGGTTGCAGAAAAAGTCGTAGATGTCCTCTTTCTTTTGAGTGCGTACTAACTGATTCTCGTTTTTGTATGTGAATTTCTGCATCTTTGTAAGGACACCCACTGATTAAAAAAAAGAGAACATAATGTGCTTAGCCACAAGAAGTGAAACACAAAAACTATCTTTTACTTACGCACTAACATTTATATAACTGTGGTCCGCGCTGTAATCTCGTACACATGTGCGCAGTGCTCGAAAAAAGGAGTTATTTATTTGAATAAATCTTGTACAGTGTTTAATTTTAACTTTTTAATTCTCCACGTTTCCGGTACTCTACAGCACCCATGATCACGGGGGAGATCGAGGAAATGCCAACCGCTAACAGTTGAATAAGTCACAATGAATATTTTATTTAATCTGTATTTTTTTTAAATTCCAGATGGTTCGATGGAGCGTCGTGGTGGCGCTATGCGTGCTGTTATCGTTTGCGACTGGTGCTTCTGAATCTGCGCCTCGTTACCGTAAGTTGTAACGCTGTATATAATTCAAAATACATATAATAAAATCAAATAAATGACGAAGCGATTTTTCAATCAATGCTTTAATGATGACTTTTTAACTTTGATTATTATAACTCACAAATAATGAAATGTTAATTAATGTTTGATAGTATTTAGTAGGAATTCTTTTCTGCCTATGTGTACGTATGGGTAAATACCTACCCACTTACCTTGTTTTGCCCACACACTGCCGTGACCGGTCTGAAGGGTGTGGAGAGTGCTTATTTACACGGACTCTCTTCACGTTATACAGGCTTTCTATAAGTAGTTCAGGCTTTGCTGCGTACGGGCAGAAATAGGTAATAATGTCCTCTAGATCGCTTTAAGGTCATTGCTGCCAGTATCATCGGAAAATAACCGTCTGCGCAAGACAAGATAAACAATAGTGCACGACTCTTTGGGCACACTTACTTGCACATTTTATTTCCTTACTCTCGTAGTCTCATGGGACGGCAGTCTGACACGACCGGAAAGAGATCAGGCGCAGAACAAAAGGCTTGACGTGCTTTTCGAGGAACAGGAGTGAGACACTGTCAACTTCTTGACTTGATGGGTTACTACTGTAAATTTATTCATAGAAAACTCAATAACTTATTTTTAGCAAGAATTCGAACCCCGGAACTAATATTAAATTTTCGCGCTTAAAACCTCTAGGTTAACGAGACAATACCTCCCCGTACGAACTTCTAGACAGAAAAAGGGTTTTAATACTAAGTAATTTTGCTGATTCAACATATAATTCAAAATAAATTATATATTATATGAGTGTTGTATTCTTATATATTGAGATATTTCAACTATTATTGTTTTACAGAGCCAAAAAAACGATCTAGGAACGGTACGTACACAAGCAGACACACGCATATTTTTTGGTAAAAAGAGAAACAAATGAATACTTAAGCAATTTCTGATTTATTTCGGAAAAAACAAAAATCATTCAACACAAAACAAAAAAAACCGGGCCCCCCCAAAAAAAACCCCCTATATTTCATTTTTTGAAAAAAAAAAAAAAAAAAAAATAAAACACCCCCCCCCTTTTATTTTTTTTTTTTTTATATAAAAAAAAAAACCAAACCCCCCTTTTTTTTTTTTTTTTTAAAAATTTAATTAAAATAAATTTAAATTAAAAATTGGAGGAAAGCAACAAAAAAAACCGTTTTCCCCCAACAACACCCCCCCCCCCCGCTCCCTTTTTTTTTTTTCGTGTTGATTGTGCAAAAACCATTTTTTTGTAGCTTTAAACGAAATACGTGTTTCGGTAATTAATAATAGTAAATTGATTACTCAAAACATTACATGAGCGTTCGAGGTGTGCATTTTCGGATTTTCCAAATATATTTTAATTTAGTTTTACTGTAAAATCTCAAATAGTTCCTGAGACAAAAGTAACACGCTATCCGTTACAGATATCACGTGCGATTTTAATATTTCGATATATAACAAGAAAAAAAAAGTACGATGGTACTAAAATAGTATGTGGTCGTACGTGAATTCTATATATCACGCACAGTCTCCTGCAGCTTCTTCTGTGGAGTCATCTATTAATTTTTATATTCTTATTCGAAATCTTTGTTATAGAGTAGGTAAAAGTGTATTAGTCACGCTAAATATTCGTTCATTTGTTTCTCTTTTCAAGCAATAACAAGATAAAAAATTACAATTTTCTGGCTAGAGTAAGTCTCTGGTCGTATTAAAAATAAATATTTTTACCATAGTGGATTTTTAGATTATCTTGTTATTGTTTAAAACTGTTCTTATCACAAATTTTTATTTTTACTTTACACTTCTATTCATGGTTCATGCTTTAACTCATGATACTGGCATAAATAACGAAACAGTTTCGGCTCACTTTTAAAACAGTCTAAATATTTTCCAAAGTATCTTAAATTTAGTTAAAGTAGGCCATCGTGTATTTAAAATTAAGCTTAAAATTAAGCTTGTATATTCTAAACTATTTTACTTCTTAAAAAGAGTATTTTAATGTTACATCTTAATATGATTCGTTTTTAATAAAAATAATTATGTTTCGTGTACTATAAATAGGGTTTCGGTTAAAAATAGCTTCCTTTTTGTTACAACACCATTGAAACACAATTTGTTTATTTGCTGTAATTTTTTCTTAAATTATAATCACCAATGTCACTTCGTCATTTTCAATTTTATTTTCCTTTCGAGTTTGTTTTGTAGATATTGTAAATTAAATATATAAACATTGTGGGCAATTATGTTTTTTGCATAGGTATAATTTTATTGCATGTTTTATTTTAACCAGGTGTAGATTAATTTTTCCATGATTGTCTCTCCCTTCTCTAACTAAATACTTAGTTAATTATGCGAACGTCCTTTCAAATTCTTCTTTGAATTTTAGCAGTAGACTGTAGATAGAACACATCATTTTAATAATTGTGCTCTGTTTTCTTTCTTCATATTTTTATTATTTATTATCTTCAATAATCGTCTCTTCACTCACTTCATCTATTTTACATCTATTACATCGATAATTTATTTTCTATTTAACTATTAAATTATTTAACTAATTAATTAAACTAATGATAGTACCTACTATAAATACTGTTCTCCAGTGAATTCTTTGTTCTATTAACTAAAATGGTAATGATTGCTTGAAAAGGGATGTTTTTAGTGAATTAATTCTTCAACCCTGTAACGGTTATGTGTCCTCGGTGGTGGAATATTTTAAATCACTTTCGATGATTTTTTCCTGACGATGCGTCGGTTTCCAGCTGACACTCAGCCTGCCCAGCAAGCGGACGCAGATGCGATGGTAAACAATCTACTACACTGGATCCAAGGATTGTACCAACAGAAGAATAGAAAAGGTCCGCGAAATTATCAATAATTTAGGTTTTATTTGCAAAATCAAGATTTATACTAACGTGACGTTTAGTAACAAACAACATACTTCCTACTACAGGGTTTACGCGAGGTGACTGTGTTGCTCGTACTTAGAGCCCAGACTTCAGCCCAACTCTCACTTGATTTGGGTTATGAAGCAAAGAAGAGTCAAAGTAAACAAAATAAAAAAGTCTTTAGTTTCTTGTAGATTACAAAAAAGTGACTGTGGCATTTTGGATCTAGCAATCAGTGATTTAAATTTTTGTCAAAGTTTATATATGTTAAAACTAAATTAGTAATAATTATTGTTTACTTAATTTGAGTATTAACTAGTTTTGTCCAGTAATTACTTAGACACAGATTCATCTACAGAACCATCTATCCAAAAAAGTTATATCCATTAAATAGTTTTTCATCCCAAAGCATGTGGTGAATCAGTCCAAAACTGCAAATTATATTTAGTAATTTGATATGAATTAAACTTGTCAAAAATACGCGAGTTTAGTCCTGCAGCTATTGTATATTTAGGTTTGATACTAGATTTAATATTATTAAAAAAAAAAAACGAAAACCACATGTTTGTTCCAGTTTAAGCATACAATATGGCATATGTATTAAAAAGTAATAATAGAAAAAAGTCAAATACAACGATCTACATTATAAATATAAGAAATTACACATAAGAACCTAAGAATATGAAATTGCGTAATTAACCGGTCTCAGTCATAGTACAGGTGACTGGTTGTCTGTCCGTTCCACATAGTGTTGCTAGATCCAGTGGGTCATATTTGGGGACAGGAGTCAGGAGTTAGAAAAATATGCGGGAATTTGGTTTTCAAATCGGATCAGTTACAAATGCTATGAAAAGTAATTTTTTTTTGTCTTTTTGACCATTGTCTATTTGACACAATGTGCGATGTGTTTTGTTTTTTTTTTGGGACCGATCCAACGAACAAACAATTTTTCTTCCAAATATCGGAAAAAGTACTTTTTCGTCTGTATGCATTTTTATTTTTTAACAATTCAGAACTCGTTGAACGATAAGTTTTCGTTGCAGACTCAAAATTTTATATATCACTCATTTTAAACTAATTCAGAAAAACTAATAAATCTTAAACTCATAACTCATGCCATTTTAAAAAAATCCCTAGAAAAATGGCACCGTACAATATAATAAACATATATTCAATCAAACGGTCACAATGCCTCAAATACCTAGATAAAGTTTTTGCATCAGACGTATAATGCTATTTATATTATTTTTTTCATATTTTTTTATATTTTTTTTGCATCAGACGTATAATGCTATTTTTTATTGAAAACTTGCGATCCAACCCGCCTTCGCGCGGGCGATTTCTGGATCTCGACCACAGCGCCGCCTACCGGATCCAAATTTAAAATCTAAACTATCTAGAGACTCATTCTAACACACATAAAAAATCATCTAAATCGGTCGATCCGTTTAGTCGTTTAGCTGTTTATCCGGATAGCAATTGATTTTTATATATAGAGATAACAGCTTGCTCACAATTTACTAAATGTACTTATTTAAACCGCAGCATATAAGTTAAGAGCCGTGGTAGCTCAGATGGTTAACGCTCGCTGTACGAGTAAATATAACGGAACGCGAGTAACCCGGGTTCGATCCCCGCCGGCACAAATGAAATTATTAATTGCAATTTTAAGTGCTGATTTACCATGTGCTCGGCGATGAAGGAAAACATCGTGAGGAAACCTGCATATCTGAGGAATAAGAAAAAATATTTCGAAGGCATTTGAAGTTCGCCAACACGCATTGGAGTAGCGCGGCGGCCACTTCCTCGCCCAAAACCTTCTCAGAAATGAGGGGAGGCCTGTGCCCAGCAGTGGGACGTATATAGGCTGTAACTTTACTTTAACTTTTATGTAAGTTAGGTACTGTACTAATTACTAGTAAAAGAATGAAATAATAAATCGGACTCTATAACTCTGACGGATGTCACTTTTTCAACAGATGTGACACTATTGTATAACAGAAATTACCTCACAACAATAATATAGTCCTAATGAAATAACGTTATCATAAAAATTGTCGAAAACACAGACCTATTTTTAAACAACAAGGCTAAATATTTTAAGAACAAGTACTACGGTCATAGATAAAGCAAACAGACGTTTATGTAATTCTTTGTATTTGTTTTTTTCTTCATATCAAATTTATGTCATAAAGAAAGTTGAAGATCTGTTCAGGCTAGCCCTGAACAAAGAAGAATTTAGAAGGATGACTGCCGACTTTCAGTAATGGAGAGGCACTTAAAGAAGAAGAAGATAACAACACAAAGTAAACAATTGCGGGTGCCTACCCGCTTGCCAAGCGTGACAACTATGGCCAAATTCCCACTACGAAGCATTCCACGGGTGAGACCTATGTTCAGCAGTGGACTTTTATAGGCTGTTATGGATACATGCCTATTTCTATTGTTATTCAGTTAAAAGAGAAAAAGCAATTTGAAGCATTTCTTAAAATGAGGTAGTTTTTTATGAGTGAGGTATACACGGTTACGCTCAGCTTAGCTGCAGCCAGGTCTATATATAATACACATATGTGCCGAGTCGTATGCCCCTATACTTCATGGACTAATATTTTTTTTTAAATCATATAACATAGTGGTTTTTGGAACAAATTATTTTTTTCGTTAAATCGAAATACATTATCTGCTTTAAAGAAGGATTTTTACATCACATCGCAAACACTATCATTCGCTACTCATAAGTCACTCAAAATCATGCTTGGAATAATGTGGATGAAATCACAAGTATTGAGATAGGCACCAGCACATACATACGTCTCTTCAATATATTTCTGCACATTTTATATATGGCACTAAATGGCACAAGCCCGTTTAAAAGTTTTAATTTCTAATATATTTATTTATACCATTCCAGCTCGCCAGTACTTCGGAGGAAAGCCGGAAAGACCGAGACCATTCGAACCTGCGACTTATCTTCCACCTGTTGGATATCCCCCAGCTGGATCTCGTCCAACACCTTCATACAATGAGGGTCCTTCGGCAAGTCCGGGATACCAACCTAGTTCCCCTTCTTCTAGCCAGCCGCCTTACCAATCAAGTCAACCAGACCAAACATCCTATCAGCCCAGTCAATCTCCTTATTTACCAAGCAAGCCTTTCCAACCAAGTTATCAACCTAATCAGCCCACCCAACCTTCCTACCAACCGAGTCGACCTTCTCCCTCTCCCTTCCCATCAAGCCAACCCTCTCCATCTTATCAACCTAGTCAACCATCGGCACCATCGTATCAACCAAGCCAACCAACGCAACCTTCTTACCAACCAAATCAGAAGCCATCATATCAACCGTCTGAGCCCAATTACCAACCAAGTCAACCAACTTTACCGCCGTACCAGCCTAGTCAACCAATTGTACCTGAAGAAACAACTTTACCTCCTTATGAAACACCGCAACAGAACCAGGAATATCAACCAGGTCCATCCAGACCCGATGCAGGAAACAGTGGGCAAACACAATTTCCGTCTACCACGGACGATGACGACCGCCATCCACCGCATATTCATGCTATTACAGTAGACTGTGGCAAAGAAATGATGACAATAAACATTGAATTTAACAAAGTATATAATGGCATAATCTATTCACAAGATCACTACAGTAATCCAGAATGCGTTTACGTGCGTGAAAATTCCAACCAAATCAAATACTCATTTACAGTGAGCTTGAATACTTGTGGCACAAGATTCTTCAGCGATTTTGAGAACGAAGGACAAGCATATCTAGAGAACGTGTTAGTATTACAAAATGAACCAGGAATCCAGGAAGTTTGGGATCACATACGACGAGTTAGATGTCTTTGGGAGGGTAATTTAACTAAACAATTAGTATCTTCTCTTAGCGTAGGCATGTTGAATCAAATTACCAGCAACTTCAGCGGTGATACTGCGATGGCCAGATTGGATATTCAAACTGGTAAAGGACCCTTCGCACCGGAAGCAAACGGTCTTGTTAAAATTGGAGAAACTATGACTTTGGTTGTCTCAGTAACAGGAGATGCTGGTTTCGATATCTTTGTTAGAGAGTGTATCGCCCGCGATTCCGGAAATCGCCATGTTGTACCTCTTACCGACAGCAATGGCTGCGTTTTGAAACCTAAGCTATTTGGTGCCTTCCAGAAGACGAGAGATACAGGGAATACGGGAGCATCAATCATTGCGTACGCGTACTTCAATGCATTCAAATTTCCGGATGAAATGGACTTAATAATACAATGTGAGGTAGAACTCTGCAAAACAAATTGTGAAGCGTGTCCCAATCCAGGAAGTACAGAGCCAAGAAGAAAGCGTCGAGATACTATTCATCTTGGTAACAGAACCGCAGATCCTGTCACGACTATAGGAAAAGGATTGAGAGTGGTCTTTGCTGAGGATTTACCACACGAAAATACTGGATTTTGCATTACACCAGTAGGAGCTATGTGGGGCAGTTTCCTTGTGCTAGCAGGATCAATTATGAGCAGTCTTGCAGTTACTATTTGCTGGCAAATATCTCGCGGGTCAATGAAATTTTCATAAACAACATAGAGTATTTTTTGTGAAATTTTGTATAGTAAATATCTCCTTAATAATTACGAGTATTGTTTTAAAATAAATATTAAATACTAAACCTACTCTATGTACTACTAACTAATGTATTTGTCCATCGGCTCACTTTCAAGCATTGACTTTAAAGAATATTTCGGTTTAAAGTGTCATTTAAAAGGAAATAGTGATATGGATAAATGTATATTAAAAAAAAGATATCATAAGATGTAGATAATGATTAATTTTAATTAATTTAATTAAATTATATTGATAACTAATTTAACACTGCCAAGGTAGATGTATAAAATAATAATCAAGAGAATTGATACTTTAACAATATTATGTAACTTTTGAAGAATACGTTATATTTATATTTTCATGCTGTACATATTAGATAAGTTACAAAAATAAATAAGTCAAATATAATATAATTTCTTTTCATTATTTAATCTCTACTACGGCTTAGTGCAGTGTTTTCATCCATAAAACATTTCATAAACAAGAACTCAGTTCATCTGGTAGTTTATGCAGTCCATAGACATCTGCCTACACCGAAAATTTATTTAACTTGCTATGTTTGTATGTTTGTTAGGGTCAAATCTTGCAACTGAATTTTAAAGCAGTTATCCTCATCCAACAGAGCTGAAATTTTATATAAACGTTTAGTTTGGAGAAATACACGGTTAGCTAATACCGTATCCTTTCCAGTTCAGTAGCCTGAAAATGTCTTCCGATGGAGCGGTGAAGAGTTTCGGGGATATAACTTCACCCTATCTTACACTTATCTGCGGTTGAATAGGTTTCGTACTCTGGTTCTGTACTTGGATATTCATCGTAGCCCTACTGTACAAGCACTTTAGCACTTCGATATACCGACAGTCAACTTGGCACCGCTGAAGGGAATGTAGCACCGCCCAAATTTCGATGGAATCAAAGGAGTTCTCATAGTCCACACACGCCAGGTATAATGGTAGATTGTATTCTTCGGTGTTCTGTACAATTTTCCGAAGGGTTTGTATGTGATCTATGGTGCTAAAACCTTTTCGGAAACTGACTTGTTCGGGAGGCTGGAAGTCGTCAAGTCTGCGTGCGAGGCAATTCGTAATAACTCTCGAAAACAACACGCAACAGGCGGGTCAGAAGGTATATCGGTGAGTAGTTCTTCAAGAAACCTTTCACGTCACCTTTCTTAAAGAACATGACCACTGCGTTTCTGCTCCACGTCTCGGGAGTAGTGCCACCACGAAATTAAAAAGCTTCTGAAGGACTTCAAGTACCAGTTTTCCACCCGCGTTTATAATTCCATCCACGCCCGGAGACTTGCCGTTTTTAAGGTGCTGTAGAGCCATTCTAATCTCATTCATATTGACGTCCGAGATATCATCAGAATAGTATCGGAAAAGACTTGCTCTTGGATCGTTACTTAAACTTGCGTGTGGCTCCAATGATGACGCGTACAGCTGCCAATAGAACCTCTCAATCTCACTCAAAATTTTAGGTGTCCTGGAAGCGATGCTGCCACACTCAGTCTTCAACTTCGACAGTTGGCTCTTTCTGGAAAACAGATATCTGGCAAAGACTTTGGAGCCCTGGTTCCGCTCTATCGCTTTTTCAATAGGAGCTGTATTGAAGTTGCGTAAATTTCGCCGCATGTATTTGGAGATCTGTCTGTTCAGTTGTCTGTATGCTGTTAAATCTGCTGAAGACTGCAACTTCATTTCCCGTAAGAGCCATGAGATTAAGTGTGTGATCGGAGAGTTTTTGTGTTCTTCTGCGGCGGGTCTTACAGAACTTAGCTCCGACCGCATGGACAGTATCAACGAGCTTGTCATTAATATCTTCCACTGTATTTCAGTCCTCTAGGCACTGAAAACGGTTTTGTAATTTGAGTTGAAATTTTTGCGGGACCTTACATTAGCGCACGAGGAGCGGAGCGTTTACTTCATTAGACGAGACCTCTCTAACTTAACGTTTAGGTTCAGTGTGCTTATAACCATTCGGTGATCGCTGCCAGTTTACACCCTTGAGATCACTAAGACATCACTGAACAGTTGGCGTCATGATGAACTCAATCTCATTTTTTGTCGAACCGCCAGGGCTCAACCAGGTCCATTTCCTGTGGGGCCGCTTCTGGAAGAAAGATTTCATTATAAAGAGTACCTATTTCTCTTTGTAGTTGGCCAGCTGCTGGCTCCTTGGGGTCCGTTGCCCTATTCCCAATTTACCCACCTTCAGCTTACCGCTTTTTCTAGTTTTGCGTTGAAGGCTCCCATAAACACCGTTTAGAGATTTTTGGAGCAATGCATGGCTCTAAAGATATCCTGATACATTTCCTCCACCTCCTCATCGGGATATATATGTATGACCTTCAGCGAATACCGTTTGGTGATTCTGAGTATCAGGGACGCAACCCTCGTTGACACACTTCAAATCTTCACAATGTTGTTGACGATAGACTTGTGGGCGATAAATCCGACACCTCCTTGAGACAGATGGTTGCTCTCCCAGTGATAGAACAAGTAGCCCACTCTCTTCGGACCTCGGATAATTCTTCTCGTCAGTCATCAGGGTCAGTGCGTTATATGTTGCCAGGTGGAGTCGTTGTAGATAGCAACCGAACCCCCCACCTGTAGTATAGAAAATCTGATTTATTTTTTTGCCGCGTTGGCATCTAAGTTGAGCGGTCCAGTACCGAAAACCAAACAATCACATATATTTTTATATTCACTAAAAAGTGTAGTGTGTGTGCGCGCTCAGTTCTAACGTAACCCTTTTGTCGACATACCACGTAAATGAACCAAATAGTTTGCTTCGTTGTTCGTAATGCTTAGCAAAGGAATCATTTGCCAGCGTATGTCCTTTCAACCGATTATAATGTAGGTTTCAATGAGCAATGAGAATGCTGAATAGACCTTATCTAGCCGAGCCAGTGCGCTTTATTATTTTCGACTACATCACCAATTACCATTTCGCGGGTTATTAGTCGAGCATTAGCTTAAAATATGAAAACATGAAGCTATGTTTTTTTATTATTCTATTAGCAGTGGGTTTGTTCTGCTAACCGTATAAATTTACAATAATAAACAGCGGTAACAACTACTATCACTTTTGCTAATATTTGCTCAACGAATAATCAACAATTATTTTATCTACCGTTAAGTGCGGATGATAAAAATACGCAATACATCTTAAAATAACTTTAAAATGTAAATAATAGTTTTATTAAATCTTAAAATTTAAATACATAATATCATCTTATATTTCATCGTCATCATCATCATCATAATATAACTTAAATTTTAAATAATTAACATCGTTGCAGTATACAAAGTTCACTAATGAATACAATATGCCTCGTTCTAAGTTCATTGGTTTCGGGTGAATTACAGCACCCATGCTCCCCCCCCCGTGACCTCGGGTGCTGTATAGCATCCGACACGTCGGGAATTACAAACTGAACTCGATAAAATTCACAAAATTAGTTTCATTTAACACGTATCCAATTGCTTACATATTAGACTGATTCACATCACGAAACTTTATATGTATACGAGTATATTAATTTTAATTATTTATATTAATAGAAATATATGTATATAATAGATTTTTACCCGCAGGTTTGCTCGCGTGGGCTTCGTTTAGGAACATCATTAAATGCTCTTCCATGTCAAAATTAACAAAATTCGATCGAAAATTCGTGTTTTCCGATGGGTATCTATTAAAAAATTTTAAATCAAAATTGCATTATTTACATTTCCGTCGTTACATTAATTCATAATTAAACTTTTTTTTATAGGATAGGGGGACAAACGAGCACACAGTCCACCTGATGGTAAGGTGTCGAGATTGTGTTCGTTACGTTAGTGATGATGAGACTTTATTCCCGGACTTGACGGAGTGATCTGAAGGTATACTTCATTGAATGCAACTGGAACTGCGCTGGGGGTCGCGGGTTCGAATTCCACACGGAACAAGTATTTGTATGGGATGTAAATAATTGTTCCGGGCCTGGATGTTTGTCCTTATGCAATTTATGTTTGTAAACTGCCCCCGCGATACAGGAGATCATTATAGTGTAGGGGTAATGTTTAAAAAAGAAAAAAAAGAAGTAGTAATAGTAGTAGGTGTGCTAAGCTTGGGCTCGGTTTGTTAGTTATGATGATATGACCTTATCTCCGGCCAGTGGCAGATTTTCTTTAAGGCAAACTAGGCACAAGGCACAAGGTTAAAAAACAAGGAGCGTGCGCAGAAGATTTTAAACGAAAAAATCGAATTGAACTACGAAGATAAGGTTATTAGTGAAAACTTGTGTGTAATTAAAATACTTTAAAAAATTGACGTAAAACATGAGCGCTTGAGGCGCTCATGTTTTACGTCGCTTTATATTTGTATTTACCAATTTTTTTTAATAATATTTTTATAACAAACAGAAGTAACGAATGTACTTATAGACTACCTGACGGTAAGTGGCTGCTGTAGTCTATGGACATTTGCCGCTAACTTCAAACAAAGAAAGCTACAAGTACGTTGTAACCTCTGAGTACTAAGATGGAATGCCAGACGGGATCTAAGGTAGAAATTTAGTTAGTTCTACCTTCAGTGAATATTGTAAAAATACAAACTAACAGAACAACAAATTCCTCATTTATTTATTCTATGTAGATATCACAGTTCGTTATAGGTAGTTATACCTCAATTTCGTATACAATCTAGAGTAATAAAGCGACGTAATAATTTATAACAAAGTTGTTAAGATCTCTAGATATGACATAATTCATTAAAGGCGTCAGTGGGTGTATGCGTGCACGTTAAGTGAGGATGTGTGAAAAAAAAATGAAGAACGAAAAAGTGAAGCCATCGGCGTTCCTAGTGCAAGGATTATCAACCCTGGCAAGTTAGTGGATATTTAGCGTTATTTATTTAGGGCTTAAGGTTGAAAAGCGAACACAGTACACATGATGGCAAATGGATGCTTTAGCCCATAGACATCTACATCTATTCTCAATTAAGGACAACGATATAGCACTCCAATAAAATGGGTCTCCGGTTCTCTACACTCACCATACGAAACTCGGTAAGTGTATGTACCGTTAAGTGGTCATGAAAACTTAGATGGTAAATGACACTGTCTTAGCGTAACAAAAATCTTTTGAAGAATATTCAAAAATGGGCATTTTTTTAAGACTTATTTCAATTGTATGGAATAATTTGCCAACATCTGTCATTCCATCCGATTACAATGTGGCTGTCTTTAGGGCAAGAGTGAAATAGACTTTTGTTGAGCTCTGTCATCAAACAAGTGGGATTTGGTATGGTATGCCTAAATTGCCACTTTTATACGTTGTAGAGTCATGCTGCAGCTATATTTATTATGTTTCTAGTATAAATGGGTCGGCTCATCAGTGAAAGAACCACGCTTTCATAGAATACCAGCGTGTAATATAAGTACCAGTTTAATGCTGCTGTGTGTTGAGTTACGAGAATCGGAGAACCTGGTAACGAAGCATTCCATCTAAGTTGTAAATGGTGTCCACGCATTTGAATTTTTAATCGACTTCAAAAAACGGAGGAGGTACTTAAATTTTTTTTATTTTATTTGAAAGCTGATGATCTCATGTGGTCCCTTATAAATTTAATCAGGATCTGACCAGTAGTTTTTGAGTAATCCTTCATAATGAGTATTTAATTGACTGGAACTCCATTAACGATGTTATTGTTCATATTTTTACAAATTTTTTAATTTTACCACATTTGATTCTTTGAGGATAGATGTAAGTCCAAAACGTCCATTTACTATCAGGTGGTCTGTGCCCGTTTATCGCCCGTACTGCTACAAAAAAATCTATTTTTTGAATATTTTAATGGTAACCAATTCCTTGACTTGTACTAGTATCTGCCCCATGTCAGCGTATATTTATAAACACGGCGCCCTTGCTAGTGTTGCGTGAATAAGTCAACGTCATACACTAGCGCCATCTAGTGTCAGGAACGAGAGCGAGGGGAGCTTTGCAGAAAATTACATCACAAATCTTTCAATCGACAGCGCCTTCTAGTCTCAAACCGAAGAACTAAGTTTCTAGAAAATCTACACTCGAACACTCGTCGCTTCGCGCGCATTTACTTGAATATTCCGGATGCTTCATTGCTAATTTGTATATATAGGCGCCGCAAGATGCGATCGAGGCAGTATTGGATTTGGCGAGACAAGCGAAGCTTCGGAGCGGAATAAAGTGAATTAGTGTGTTTAATTATTGGTGTTTTAAGTTTTAATTTGTGTAAAGAAAATTAAAGTGTTAATTTAGGTAATTCTATCGGCAATTTTTATTGTCACGAACCAAATCGAGCTCGTAACATTTGGTGTCAGAAGTGGGATAAAACCATGCCGATTTTACCTAAGGAGGAAACGGAGGGTATCCGTACCCGCAGTCAACGCCAGCATGAGACGGACCAGATGAGATTTGGTGGTGCAACGCCGCAGACGTCGGAGGGCCAACTGCCAGCCACGGAGGCTGCGGGCCCGTCAGTAGCTCCTACATCTGCAGCACCTGACTTAGGTGCTCTGATGACGATGCTACAGGAGCAGCTGCAGCGCGGACGAGAGGAACAGGCCCGTCTGTTGAAAGAGCAGCAGGAGGAACAGGCTCGCTGACAGGAGGAACAGGCTCGCCGACAGGAGGAACAGGTCCGTCGGTTGGAAGAGCAGCTGCGGGGCGGCCAGGAAGAACAGATGCTTCTCATGAAGGACCTTCACGCTACCTTCGGGAAAGAGATACGGGAGGTGAAGGATAAGGTTGCTCAACATGATATCCGCCTGTCAGAAGCTGAGTCCCAA